CTTTCTGTGGCAACATTTGAAAAGGTTGACTTTGAACTGAGTTACTTTATTTAAGATTTAAGAATTTCACCCAAGTGAAAATGAAGTAAAAACTTTTATATCAGTAGTTCCCAATCTTTTCCTTTATGTGGATCAGTACATCTGGCTTCTCATATAAACCAAGAGATGGCTGCAGACACAATGACATACATTCCTTATTTATTTATTTAAACAATCAGTGAGATTATCCTTCTCCCAAAAGTGACTCTGAGCAATGTACAAAGGTTACAGCCACCCCAACAATAGTTTATAGTTTCTGGCTATAAACACTCAAATGAAATAAAAAGTAATGTCATTTTTTAAAAATGAATGGTCAAAATAGTGTGAGATCACCCAATCTCATGATATTTTAGTACTCCCATCCCAAATCTTGTAAGATTTTGAGTGAGAAAGCCAAAATATTTAAAATTTTGGTGGTCTTGTAAGATTTTAAGTATCTTTTTAAAGATTTGTTTTTAGCAACTTCACAGAAAATGCAGTTGATGTCCTCCATCGTCCCTTCCACAGGTGAGAATTAATGTTCTCCCTCATTAAAAAGCTTAGGGTAAAAAATAAATTAGCAAACGGAAATTAAAAGTAATATAAAACCTTATGTCTTCATTTGTTGTAGTTAATTATAGCTTTCCTAAAGCAAGGATTTTATTGAATGAAATTGATTAATGAGGGTGAATTTCCCCCACAGTCCCTGTTTCAAAGGCTCCCTAGCCTTCCTGAGGGGATGCAGTAGGAATCATGAAGAAAGTGGTCCTTCAGAGAGTGAAACCAGCATTTTAAACTCTGCTTCAGGAAACAAATATGCACTAATTGGTTTCCAGCTTGATCAAGAATCAGGAGATGGTAATGTAAAGGGTTGGCTGCATGCTTCTCCGTTATCAGTGAAGAGACCTGCCTTCTTGCTGGAACTTAGGAAGGCTGCTGGAGAATTAGAAAGGCTCTGCCCTAGAGTATGCAGAGATCCATTGGGTCTAAGTGGGAAATAGTTCCATTGCTGGAATTCTTGTAACCCCATCCATTTCATCCCAATAAATCTTGCTAATGAGAACTTCGCGAGAATTCTGCTTTGGAGAAGAATTTTTTCTGGCTTTCATTTTTTCCAAAAAGGTGAACCAAAGTGGAAAGTGTTATTGAAAAGTATGCTGTAGACAGAAGAGTAGTTGCTATTTTCCCAGTCATGGAGCATTCATGTTTTTATGTAGCTTATCCCACTTGGAAGCATGTTCTCACATACAGCTGATACTTTGCCATACTGTGTACAGAGGGTATCTCCATGTGCAACATCATGAAGTCTTTAGAGATCACATTGCACAGTCACAATCTGGTGATCGCCTGGCAGAAAGGAGCGCTGGGTTGTTTAGGGAAGTGGAGAAGCGCACAAGTCCAATGTGTTGGTCTCCTTTTCAGTGGCTGAAAACATTTGATCAGTTGCTGTTCTCAGATGTAGAATGGTGAGAATTATACTTCGGGATGGGGCTAAAGCTTTAGCAGGAATTCTTTTAAAATTCTCTGGTACGTAGAGAGTTTTGTTTTGATTTTTGTCACTTTTGGAAAGAAGGGCAGTATTTTTTTTCCCAACAAGAATAGATGATTACAGAAGAACATTCAGTAACAGAAAGATCTGATTTGCATGTATGAAATCTTAGATTCCATCCCAGTTACAAAGGTTTTAAGAACAGAATTCATTTGGCTTTAAAAAGTCTGCTTCCTGTAGATGTCAGAAAGTAAATTAATTGAAGGCGGTGTTACTTTCCTCTATGGAGCTTGAAAATATAGTATTAACCAAGAGGCTTTAGTGGCAGATGAATGCCTAAAATAAATGAATCAAAGCAAAGTGTTTTGATGCCTGAGTTCACACCTAAATGTGTTCTTTATTTGTGTGATATCTTTGCTTAGAGTACAAGGTCACAAATCTTTACAAGACACTGGTCAATTAGATTTAAATAACTAAATTTTAATCCTCTAAGCCTATTAAAGCAATGATACTTGGGCTACTATGGTTAACCAATTCAACAGAGCTATTTATAGATGAATTCTTGCTTTTGTGAGTGTAACAAGTAAATTAAACTACCTAGGGACTGTAAGTGTTTAAAAAACTTGTGTAATTCATATAGATCTCATAAGGTATTGGTATCATTTGAAAAGCTTGTCCTTTTCCTAGTAGAATTGAGTTAAAGGACTCTTTGGTTCTCATGTTTTCACAGTGGGCTTCTAAGCCCACATGTCTGCCTCTCATGCTGGTCTCCCCTTGTTCAAATTGCAGAATGGAGTATTTAATACTGTTGAGACAGTGCGAAAGAAGTATTATGCAAAATCGTGGTCGGTGTGACTGCTGCTTCCTCATTTAATAAGTTCATTACAGAAAAAGTAGACACTGGAACAGCGTACAGTATCACAAACCCAACATGACTGATCTGTAGCACCCATCCTGTTATTTGCTGCTGTTGATTCTCTCTTCTGCATCAATAGTGGTACCTGATAGAATTCAGCAAAAGTGCTTGCTCTAAAGTAAAAGCAGCAGGTTCAGATGTGATTCAGAGCTCCAGGGTCAAATGTTTTCAGGGTGATGGGGGTGGCGAAATGCACTGAGATAGCTAATACCCATTTAGAGACAAATTCCAACATAAGCATTTAGATTTGATAGTAACGAAAATGCACTGAATTCTGCCAGTGGTGTTAACAGCTGTTGGAAGTACGTAATATTAAAGGAATGCAGAAAGCTATTTTATGCATGCCTCCCCAAGGGACTGGACATGCCCACTGGAGTTTATATCTTAAGGAGTACAGAGTTTAATGCAAGACAGCTTCCATGCGTCCCATCCACATCTCTGCCCAGTTGGCTGTTTCAAATGGAGCTGGCAGATTTGCATGGTCTCTAGTTCACACAGTGGCAGGGTAAGAGGGCCTTCTATTACACTCCCTACACAAGGTGGAGTGAAATATAAAATTATGTTGAAAATTCTACCTGAAAACATTTTGGTCTTGCTGTTATTCCTGGTAATTTCATAGAAACTTCCCTGTTGTTTTTCAACTGAAGTAGGGATATGCTTTGCCATTGCCTTATTCCAGGATATTTTTTCAATTTCTCAGTCTAGCCATTGGCTCAGTAATTTCCCATCTAGATACTAACCAGACCTGGGTGATTAAAAATCTCAAGACTATTTTTTTTTAAATACCAAGTGTTTGTTGGTTTGAAGTTTATTTATTTACAGTCTAAGACCAATATTTAAAAATGCATTTACATAAAGCAGATAAAACACACACATTTTTTTAAAAAAGTGTAAGGCAGGCCTGAAACAATTAGCAATGTGACAGCTTATGTAAGCCATAACTGTTGGGGAAAAAATGGCAACCTTCTTGGAGGTATCTGAAAATTGTCTGCAAAGGAGAGTGGCCACCTCATGGTCACAAAAGGAACCAAGTGACTATGGTATTGAGTCTTATAGTAGTGGTCACTGCGGGTAGGGGTGTCTGTAGGGTGTGGTCAAAAAGGTCAAGTTGGCAGCCCTGATGGTGTGATCCAAGCTCTGCCTGTTTGTTACGCGTGTCATGTGCGATGCATGTAGAAAGCAGGCCGAGCTTAGATTACACTGTTACGGCTGCTATCTGGACTTTTTTGGCCATACCCTGTGGACAGCTCCTATACCCTCTATGTGTTGTTAGCCAAAGGTAACAGTTTTTGTATATGTGACTGATATAACATTGTCAAAATAGAAGGATTTTGTGCTATTTTAAGGGGAACATGGAATTGTAAAGCTTGCCATTTTTAATGTTGTAACTGTTGTTGTTCAGTCGTTAAGTCGTGTCCAACTCTTCGTGACCCCATGAGCCACATCGCACGAGGCCTTCCTGTCCTTCACTGTCTCCCTGAGTTTGCTCAGTTTCATGCTCATT